CCCCCACCCCCCTTGAAGGTAATACAGCAATAGGGGGTGAGTAGAGCACTCAGGAATGGGGTCGGATTGAGCACTCTGGATGGCCATACTTGTGTAAAATTATTATTTTATTTAAGAACTCCAGGACAAGGATAAGAACCTGCAAAAGAGCCAGTCCTTTTGAGATTCACAACATACATATTGTTTTATATAAATTAGATGTATCTGAATCTGGTGCTTCTCACTGTGGGTAAATATCTTATTATTTTGGCTGAAATAAGCTTGCTATGTTTTCCTTAGCTTTTGTGTCGTTAATGTGGCTCTTGCTATCTGCAACAGTGAGCTGCTCTTGTGAAAGATGTTTGTAGGAAAAGCTGCGCTTAGCTCAGTTAAAGGCAGTGATGAAATGACCAGGAGAATGACCGTTATTCCCCTTGCTAAATTGGCTTCTCAAAAGTATCATGTCCAACAGTGGACATGACTAGACCTTGACCCTAGGCCTGGGCAGCAGGAGGTAAATATTGTATCTAGGTTAATTCCTAAAGAATCCAATTTTGGAACTTGCAGCCAGAAATGCATATGTTTTCTTGAGACTGTCAATATTTAAAGAAGAGTTTCTCCTTCAACCCTGCCTTTTGGTCAGCATGCAGCTGATTCATTCCCACAGCTCAAAGCTAAGGTGCTCATTCTTTCTTTGGAGAAGGAAACCTGGGGGTGGCGGGGAGAGGTGGGTGGATTTTGATCTCCCTGTTTCTTATTCTGTCTGCACAAACATGTCAAAGTGCTCTAAATCAGCTGTTTTGTGCAAACCTTTCATGTTCTCTCTGTTTCAAGAAAACGATTGTAGCAGCTTACTTATAAATGTACAGCTGGGGAGAGAACAGAGCTTTGTATCTCAGAGAGCAGGGATTCTCAAACTGGGGGTCAGGACCCCTCAGGGGGTCACAAGGTTATTACATGGGGTGTCATGAGCTGTCAACCTCCACCACAAACCCCACTTTGCCTCCAGCATTTATAATGGCGTTAAATATATAAAAAAGTTTTCTTAATTTATAAGTGGGGGAGGGGAGGTCGCACTCAGAGGCTTGCTATGTGAAAGGGATCACCAGTAAAATAGTTTGAGAGCCACTGGCATAGAGTCAAATGCTGAACAGCGTCATCCTGAAAGACCCGTGCTGATGATAATATAAGAGCTATCTGGGCACAAAGCAGAAAGCTGTTCAAATCCCCGACAGGGTAGAGCAGGGATCTCAAACTCAAATCACCACCAAGGCCACATGAGGGCTAGTACATTGGCCCGAGGGCCGCATCACTGAAACCTTTTCATACAACGTTACAAAAGTGTAGTCAAAAATGAAAAAAATGAAGAGTAATATAGTATGCTATTAAAAGTCAATGTATTAACTTTTTAAGAACTGTAATGTGAAGAGGGCTTTTAATGAAATATTAACTCCTGTAACTATTCCTTATGTGGTCAGTAACACTGATGATGATCTACACTAACTGTCTATCAACGTAGCTGTAATGGCAGGAACTTTTTAAAGTAACTATTCATACAAAATACATTGCCACTTTTAACAAACATTCTTCCCAACTACTCACAGCAAAGAATTATACATGCTGAACTTCATACCTCATATTGCTCATCTAGTCCATGAGGTCCCACCCCTTCCCCAAATCCCTGCCCCAGCCCTGCCTCTTCTCTGCCTCCTCCCCTGAGCACGCCACGTCCCCACTCCTCCCCCTCTCTCCTGGAAAGTCCTAAGTGCTGCCAAACAGCTGTTTGGTGTCAGGGAGTGCTGGGAGGTAGGCGGAGGAGTGGGGATGTGGTGCACTGGGGGGAGAGGGGGGGAAGCTTGGCTGCCAGTGGAGTCGGCACCTATGGTGGGCCGCAGGAAATAATTCCTCAGGGCCGTATGCTCTCAAGATTTGTATTTGCGGCTTTTTTAATTAATAAAGAATCCAATTTCAAAAACAGATCAAAATGGTGCAAGAAGAAACTGCAAGATTCCCCCCTCCCTTTCTCTCTCTCTCTCGGTTCTGCTCTTCCCTCCATGTGTGGGCCTAACTCCCACTGATTCTAAAGGCAATTCCCCTGTGTCTCAGAGCCCATAGGGTGCTCGATCTTATTTTGTTGTTGTCTGTTTGTATATTGGTAGCACCAAGAGGTTCCAATCAGGGCTCAGTTGTTGTAGGCACTCTACACACATATTGTAAAGATTGTCCTGGGGCTCCAAAGAATTTACAAATACAGTGCAGTCTTGCCCTCATGTACACACGTGTGCATAGCTGCATATTTTATGTGATCAGTGACGGTGTGGAGGACAGGAAAAAAATGAGCAGCAAGTGTTGGGAGAGGAGGATGAGAATCAAATTGGAACAGGAACTGAACCCAGAGGACTCTCTCTTCCACTGTGTAGATCAGCTCACGATTGAGCCCCTGGGGATTCCTCATTGAGAGATTTGACTGTATCGGGGACCATTTGACCACTCCTATTTTCTTCCAGCGAAGATTTAAAGAAAACTGTGGCAAGCAGAGATAATCCTTATGAAATACTGTCTGTCTAGGAATAATCATTAGAATTTCTTATTATTAGTCTCATGTTCTCACATCACATAATGACACCCTAGGATATAATTGCACCCATCATTTTCTCTGTGTTCATGGCTAATGGTCCAAACTAGGACCCACTGTAAAGCATCCATGTAACAGAAAATGGCCCATTGAAATAATCACCGAGCTGTATCTGAAGCAAATGGTACAGCAAAACATTATCTGTTAAAGGAATATAGGTCAGGAAGATGAATGCAAACACATCCTGCACTGTGGCATCACTGAAGGGATTACACTGGAGCAGGAGAAGACTGACTATAAAGGAGAATTCTTAGACGCCAGTCTGTAGGTAATCTGTAAAGATGAGAAAGGAAATGTAGAAAAGAAAACCATGGCTGTTTGAAAGGGAATCCAGTAAAATATAGCACAATGAGGAAAAGTTTGTGTCTATAGCTATGCCTGCACTTACAGCAGCATGTCGAGTACATACATTACATGCTCCCCCTAGCATGGGCATAAATAGCAGTGCAGGTGGCGAGGCACTACTTAAGTGAATAGAGTGAAGACACACCAGAACCTTACATGGCTCTCCACTCACCCAAACACCTTCCGCATCCACAGTGGTATTTTGAGCAGCATAGTGTCCCACTGCCAGAGACTTTCCCTGCCACAGAGAAAGACTCCGGCAGTGGGGAAAGGCTCTGGCAGCTCCCTGCCACCGGACCCTTTTCCCACTGCCAGAGCCTTTAACTGATGCATGTAGCTACACAGTCCAGTGAGGACACCGTCTGCTTTTCACTGCAATGTGTGGCTACACGTAACTTACATGCTGTCACCAGTGTAAACAAGGTCTATTTGTCAGTAGCCGTATAAAAGGTGGTGGTGGGGGGAGTTCATTCCCTTCAGGGCCTTTAATCCTGTGGAGATGATTTACCAGTTTTGGCTACCTCTTCGGTGGTGACAGCCCTAGCTCCAATTCTGATTGGTCCAACATGTAGCAGACAAAGACTGAATAGGAAGTGTATATAAATTGATTGTCAAGGCCAGATTGTGACCCTTCTTCCTCCCCACTGGTGAGCAGTTAGTTACTTATGTGAGTGGTCCCAGTCTGACCCCAAGGGGTTGTCTGTCTTATCTGAGCACCTCATAAACATTTACGAAAGTATCCTCACAACATCCCTATGAAGGAGGGAAGTACTATACTCCATTTTAGAGACAAGGGACTGAGTCACACAGAGATTAAATGGCTTTCCTGAGATCACACATTTAGTCTGAGCCAAGAACTGAACATGCATCTCCAGAGTCCTTCTCCACAAGACCTTCCTTCCTTCTCTCAGGCTTTTGTGTAGACAAAGGCAGGACATAATGCAGGGCCGGATAGGTGATAGGAGTTCTGCCATTGCTCATAGGACATAAAAATCTATCTGTGCTATTATAAATGGAATTAAGATTTCAAGAACTGTCAGGTCTTTTCACCCTCCTTTCCATGTGAAAAGCCCAGGTACAGCCGTAATATATACAACACTTTGAGTCTTTTTTTGTCTGGGAACAGGTGTCACTTGTAACTAATGCTCAAATTGCAATGGTACAAAGTGATTTACCCCGCTGTCATTTTGAATTGCTTTCTGCATGCTAGCAGTTATTGCAGGTCTTTTCGTGTAACTTTACCTTGCCAGCACTGCATTTGTATATGTACAGGAAGAAAGAAGTCATCAAGAAGAAGACCATAATAAAACAACTATTAGATATTAAAGCCTGCATTGCATTCAACACACCCAGGTAGCTTGTTAAAACAGAACCCTCATAAAAAGTTCAATATAACAATGTGCACATATGGGAAATGTGGGAGGACAGATCGTTACAGCTATATGCTTACATGTTTGACCTCTTTTGAGACATCACAGGTCGTCTTTGACATCCTAGATATGTTGCTAATGTCTTGACAAGGGGCTCCCTCAAATATTTTGCACCTCAGCCAGAATGATTCATGATGTTCTGTGGGTAAAATACTATTTCTCACTCCCCCACCCAAAATAATCCATCAATCCAATACACCTCCCTCCCCTACAGAATCCATCAAACAGGAAGGGTGGGGATGGAGAAATGAGTCCCCTCAGAAGAAAATCCCAGGATTTTCAGTGCCCTAGTATGGGCTACTATGGGCATAAGATCTCCTCTACCATGCGCTTCTGCAAATAAGAATGAGGGAAAGCTTGGATTAACGTCTCACTTTTGTACCCCGTTTTCGGCATGAATGAATTTTGAAAACAAGAAGGGGTTCGTTTTCATTGCAGTGCTCAGTCAGCTGATGTATCTTATGAATACACTGTGGGATTTTTGTGCATATGGTACCACTGGTTCACAAAATGTTGTCTTCTTTCCAGGACGTCTCTTGTTGGTCTTGATCAATATTTGCCCATTAAAATGAGCTCACTCACTTTTTTTTTTTTTTTTATCTGTTTTGCAGGCATTGGAAAAAATGTCATCTGTGACCGAACAGCAACTCCCCTGGATGCCTTCAGGATGATGTCTGCGGCCCATTACTACCCCAAGCTCATGAGCATCATGGGGAACGTTCTCCGCTTCCTGCCTGCCTTTGTGAAGATGAAGCAGTTGATTCAGGGGGGCTATGTGGGGGAGTTGCTGGTGTGCGAGGTGCAGGTGCACAGCGGAAGTCTGCTGGGCAAGAAGTACAACTGGAGCTGTGATGACCTGATGGGGGGTGGGGGTTTGCACTCGGTTGGTACCTATATCATCGACCTCTTGACCTTCCTCACCAGCCAGAAGGCTGTGAAAGTCCACGGGCTGCTCAAGACCTTTGTGAAACAGACAGACCACATCAAGGGAATACGTCAGATCACCAGTGATGACTTTTGCACGTTTCAAATGGTTCTTGAAGGCGGGGTGTGCTGCACTGTGACCCTCAACTTCAATGTCCCCGGGGAATTCAAACAAGATATTATTATGGTAGGTTCAACTGGACGACTGATTGTAATAGGCACTGATCTGTATGGGCAGAGCAACAGCTCTCCTCAAAGAGAGCTCCTTCTAAAGGACTCTATGCCAGTCAGTAACTCCTTACTGCCTGAGAAGGCCTTCAGTGATATCCCATCCCCATACCTTCAGGGCACTATTAAGATGGTGCAGGCCATCCGGCAAGCATTTGAGGACCAGGATGACAGGAGAACCTGGGATGGGAGGCCCCTCACCATGGCTGCGACTTTCGATGACTGCCTGTATGCCTTGTGCGTAGTGGACACTATTAAAAAGTCAAACCAACTAGGGGAATGGCAGAACATTGCAATCATGACAGAAGAGCCAGAACTGAGCCCTGCATACCTGATCAGTGAAGCCATGCGTAGGAGCAGAATGTCTCTGTACTGTTAGCTTCACTCAGCTCTTAGAAAGGAATGGAAACAACACAGCTCTTAAAGAATAATTCAGACAGCATAAGGATTTGGATATGTAAAAGTTTGACAACATGGGAAATGAAAATTTGATGTTTAAACCGACTAAACTAGTTGGTGTCTCTATACGACGGTGATGGGAGCATTAGAAATGCCTAAGCTAGACAGATGGAAATGAGAATTGTTTAAGGGCTGACATAAATAACTTGTGTTACCTGTTTAGCAGCAGTATTAACTGGCTGGATAGCGAGATATCATGGGAACAGTTGTGTTTACTGTGAAAGTTCAGGAAGATCCTTTTTGACTTACCTGTCCTGCCAGAGGGCTGTGAAGGCTCTGTCATGTCAGAAAGTCTCCTGTGGCATCTGACGTGAAGAGTTCCCACCATGCCAGCTGACAACACCACACTCTACTGCTACGTTACTAACCAGTGCATAGAATAATAAGACTTGTTGTGACCAAGTGTCCCGTGACCTGGACAAATTTGGCAGCTCAATTTTCATAGCTTATTCTGTGGTGTGTGTTTTTTCTTTTTTGTTTTTGTTTTTAACGCAATTAAGTAGGGAACATTGTGGCTTTTGTAAACAAGTCAGTCTCCAACAGCAGCTCATATAAGTGTGGGGGATGGGGAAAGCATTCTACAAGTTCATGTTAAGCTTCAGTGTTAGATGTAAAGATGTGCTCATAAAAACGGGTTGTGCAAAACCTTCATCAGCAACATCCAGGCCACGTGACACTCTTCTGATTTGGGATTTGTTACACCACCAAGACTTGGGCCAGGTTTACAGACTTTCCTGTGAGCGTGGGATTGAGTTCTCAGTGAGCCGGCCTTGAATTATGGTGGAGAATATACAAAACTAAGTGGGCTTCTACCCAAGAGCTATGTTTTGAGTTTTTGTGTTCTTTTAAATGTATGTGAACCTCAACCTAGAAGAAAAAATCTGCACCAGCCACCAAGTTCCACATTGCTCAGCCCACAAGCTTTCAGCTTCTGATGATGGAGGGTCTGAATGAAAAACCACAACGAATGAGAAAAATTCTTATAGATTTGCAGGGAAAAAAGTAAAAATCTCCTTACCTGCCTAAAGTCAGCAGCCACAGGTACTGTCCTGACTGTTCCCTTTGTCACCAACGCAGGAACAGACAAGTGGTCTCTTGTTTAGTTATTCTCTTTGTCTTTAATGTATTAGGCCCTGCTCTTGCAAACAATTTATGCAGATGCTTGTAAACTGTCCTGGTAAGCTCTGTGGCACTCCCCTTATGCATTAAGCTACTCATGTGTTCATGAGTTTGCAGCATCGGGGCTTCAGCTTGAAAAATAACACAACAAAATGTAATCCCCAAAAGAATACAAAGCAAAATTACATTTGTTTTAAACTGTAGCAAAACCACTTGTTTTGGTTAATCTGATGGGGGACAAACTCTTACGAGATTTATGTTTGCTATAAGGATTGAAAAAGAAATTTTGAACCTTTTTTCTCAGGGATGCCAGGTCAGTATACTAATTGATTGTTTAGATTTTAAAAATTATGACTCTTTAAATTAAAAAAAAAAATGTTTACAGCTCTGTCATCTTTATGAATGCTTAAAGCTCCCTTAGGAATCCTGCTACTGACCCCTACCTTATTACCTTGTTCTCTTGACTGCCATAGTCTAGGCTTTAGTGCTGCATTCACTGAACTGGGAGAGCAATGTTAAGTACAAATTTTATTTGAAAAAATATGTAAAATCCTAGATATTTGTGAACTTTCATGACTTCTTCCCTGAGATCTATAAATAGCATGAATGATGGAGGAAAAAGGTCACAAAATTTGTTTAAAATAATATTGTGAAATGAATGAGTCGATTTGGATGATTACTGTTTGACCAGCTCTAGCAATTGTATCTGTTGTTTACTGCTTCTGCTATGGCCTTGGGCAAGGATGCAGGGCTTCTCCTGCTAGGATCTCAAGTTTGTATTTTTTTTTCCAGTTGTTTAAAATTATTCCTTGGAAAATAGTTGTCAGCTAAACAATTAAGCAAATAGGAAATAACCAGAATTATAACCATCGTTGCATACAACACTATTCCTTTATTTAAATAAACCTGCTATCTCACACCCCCACCCCCACCCACCCACCACAGAGGGACAGTCAGATCAAAAATGAAATCTCTCTTAGCAAAAGAATGATATTAATCAGAGAGGGTCAAGAGACGTATATTGATTTTTTTTTAATGCAGTATGGTATAATCTCCTTACTGAGGACAAAGGTAGAGTCATGGATGCAGGATAATGTGGATGACTAAGGGACAGAAAAATCAATGGCAGGGAGCTAGATATGATAAACCAAGTCCGATAAAAGAAAACACCATCCCAAACCTATAGCCCAAAAACCTGAATTAAATCTGAACCAAAATATTTTTTAGTTTCTCTTCATTTATTATTTGCATTGTGATAGGGTTACAGAGCTCCACTCATGGACCAGGACCCCATTGTGCCAGGTGGTGCACAAAATTTAATATCTTGGCCGTCTATATTTTTAACGTTTGTGCCTCTCTGCAGTTTTATGGTTCTGGCTGAAGCATAAGTGCTAGAATCCTGGGCCTTGTTCCTGCAGTGAGCTCCATGCAGGCAGAATGCGGAGTCCTATTGAATTCAATCTTTCTGTCCCTGAGCTGAAAGCTTTCAGGTGGTGTGCGTCACCCTTCCTCTCCTTAGCCTTATTGGTTCAGATACTGCAATTTGCAGAGTTTAACTCTAACTGGGGTGGCAACTGGTGACTGCTTGCAGTCAGGATTGAATGAAGTTTTCATTCTTTCCAGGATGTAAAGTGAGATGCAATACTGCTGTCTGGGCAAGGATTTGGTAGCATCAGATGTAAATATATTAAACTGCCATCTGAATGAAAGGAACAAGTGACTAGTTTATTTGTAGAATGTGTCATAATATTCCAATAAAATTATGACTTACTCTATAATAGGGCTATTTAGATTTGCGGTATCAAACCCTCATTATTTTTTGGGACAGTTTGAAGTACCTTAAGCTGAATGCTGCAACTGGCCCCTGGAGTTCACATCACATTTAAGAATTTGGCCAACGGTTAAAAAAGGTTTACAGTATTTAATTTAAGAGAGTCCCTGGTACTTTACCAATGTATTTGGAATAGCACTTTTAATGCTACTCTTTCTCTAGTGCCATAAGATTTGAGCTCCTGCTAGAATTGGTGCAGACCCAGTTATTCAAATCCAGGCTACTATTTAATGTACAATAGCCCAGAAGTAACCTTGTGCACTTGCTAAATCAAAGATAGTCTTGTTTTCTAGGGCTGCTGCTGTTGGAGAGGCTCTTTCCTTTGCCATTCGTTACTTGTGTACATGTGATATTAAAAATTGTGATCTGCCGCAAAAGAGGCAGAGAGCCAAAGCAATATTAAAATTGTGATCTGCCGCAAAAGAGGCAGAGAGCCAAAGCAATCCTCATTAAGAGGCAAGTTATGCCTTGCAGTGAATTCAGTAGAAAGACTCCCATTGACTCCATGTGGAATTGGATTTGTCTTCAAGTGAACTGTTTACTTCCAGGTAAATGGAGGGCAGCCCCTCCTCATGTCCCTGTGTAGCATCAAGGCACAATTTCAGTCCTTCCATGTGCCCCATAAGTTTCAAGATACCCCAGGTGGGTGAGAAGGTGGGTCCATGGCCCTGTATACACCAGCTAGCAGAATAAGCTGGCCATGCAAGTGAAGTATATCTACTGGACGTGTGTAACGGGTGCACTCCACCTGTGTGTCAGGGAGCTCAGGAAGGAGTCATGTTTTTCCAAGGGCAAAATTCCTCTGAGAACTCCCCCTGGAGCTGTGCCCCAATGCAGGGCTCAGTTAAACCCTAAACAATATTAGCAACCTCAAGCTTTGGGCTTTCCCTTATCTCATATCCTGCACATGGCTGGATTAGTAGCATTCAACCTATATAGTTAGAAAATACCTATGTATAGATAATACGTTCTTACCCAGGATCCCTATACGGCATAGAGTCAGTGCATGCATAGACAAGCTCAGACTCAGCATGAGTTTCAGCAGAACCTTTGGATGAAAGCATGAGAAATTCCTGTCTAGCTGGCTTAGGGCAATCAGAGGCACTTTCCACTTTGTACTGAATTTCTTTTTCTTTTTCTCATCTCCTCAATAGTTTTTGAATTACAGTGACCACAGAAGAGAAGGGGTATCCCTATCTCTGCTCCACATTGTCCTGGCATATAAACTATTCAATTCTGGCATTATCCCGTTTATTTTTATGTCCTTACAACTATAGCAAAAACCCTTTTACAACTAAAAATGACTGTTCTGACAAAAATTAACATTATTCTTAGTTGATTTTATTTCACAACAAAAAACAAACTTAGCATCCAATGAAGTGAGCTGTAACTCACGAAAGCTTATGCTCAAACAAATTTGTTAGTCTCTAAGGTGCCACAAGTCCTCCTTTTCTTTTAGCATCTCCATTGCGTCTTTGCAGAGATCCATAGATTACTACTGACAGCAATGCTTGTCACTGGAAGTTTTTAGCCCTGGACTTCTATATGTTGTTGTAAGTATAATACACTGAGTGTAATCTGTTTACTGTTCATTTCTGTACCTATAAGAGTTTAAAAGCATCTAGCAGACCTTGGGCTTTGTGCAGCTATTTAATGCATTGTCTTAACACTCTTACCTCCTTGATGGGCAAGAGATATGCCTTAAATAGCTGAAAAGCTCAACACTGCACTGTTTGACCTCTAAAGATGGCTTTTTGGGTATTTAGGACTAGCTGTGAGATGGCAGGATTATGCAGAATAGCAGGTTTTCTTGTTCTTGTTAAAATTGGAAGCAAAATCTGTAAACTTTGTAGATGAAGTATGAATGAATAATCTTTAGTCCCGTTCACTTAAAATTCTCTCCTTGCTGTGGATTTCTTAACCTACAAGGTATATTCCATTAAATAACAATGATGTCCAAAAACACCCACCCCAAAATCCCCATGTCCTTCCTGCATGAAAGGAGGCATTTTAAATAGATAGGACTGTACATAGGGCTGCATTCATGAACCCATCCATAACTGAACTGTCTCTGTCTCTTTCTTGCTGCTGCTCTGATGCCAAGCATTTGAAACACAGAATGACCAGGATTGTGCTAACAAGGAACCTGAATTGTCTCTTCTTTTGAAGAGGATGTTGCCTCTAAATCAAAATAGTCATCATGGCCAGATCAGCACTGAATTAGTTTTAATTGGGCCAGATTCAGTCCTGGTATAAACAGGTACAATTCTATAGATTTGTATTGTCAGAGTCTGAATTTGGCCCAGTGTGTTTCACTCATATATTGCCATTGTTCTGTATAGGAACTCTGGTTGATTACATGGATTTAGCTATAGATAATCCAGGTTCTCCACTTCTGATGCTGCAGTGCTAGCTATCATCTTTAGAAGCACTAAAATAAGGATTAACACGTTTACCATATGGTTTATATGGTTTTACAGTCCTTCCCACAGCCTTCTTTCTTTTTAACCATCAATCAGGCCCACTGATATGGACCTTCTTTCTCATCCCACTGCAGGCCCTCAAGACAGGTATCTGTTGAGAAAGGTATCTTTTGCTTCCTCATCAGTTTTGCTCTCACTCTGTGTAACACAGGGTAGGTCAGGTGGCTAATTGCTGATTTGAAGCTAATCCCAAAGCAAAAAATTGCATGAGTAAAAATCCACTGAGTTTGAATAAATTACATTCCCATTGCCCAGCTAGGACAGACAGTAGCTCCCTGCTATGCCTGGTTCATGAATGGTGCCCATTGCTTCTCTCTGTACTGTCTTGTTGGGTTTTTTAAATCTTAAAAGCAAAAGTATCTTCAGTTTGTTGCTATATCATTATTAAATATATTTATTTTGTTTTTCAAACACAAATGCAAAGTGTGCGTGTGTATATATATAAAAGTCAGTGCATGGACATATGTACAGTAGATATTTTAAAGAGCTATTTATCAAGCAAAAATAAGTGTTATAAAGTAAACAGAGTCTATATTTTATATATAATGTAGATAGCAAAAAAATAGTGTTTAAATTATAGTAGGACTTTTTTTTTTAAAGAAATGGACAGTTTGACGGTTCTAGCATTTTAACAGCCAAACTACTTTGTAAGGAAGCTGCCTACTGTGTTTCTCAGTTGCCACAATATCTGTCTCTTCTCCTGGAAGGTGATGTGCATTGTTAATTTTATATTGCTTTGGAAATGTAGTTAGTTATACTCAGCCAACTGGTATATGCTGCTTAAAACATGGTTTCTGGCTGTTCTGCATATTTGCATTGGTGGAATAAAAGGATCCTAAATGGCAAATAAAATCATAAAAGGAGATGATTCCAGCTGTCAGCCATTTTTCCCCCGTCCTCTTGTGTTTTGTGCAGTGAAACAGCATCAGTTATTTCTGTCTTCTGGTGTGATTGTTAAGTTCAGCACGTCTGAGCGAAATACACAAGATTGGTGCTTGAGGTGATTGTGGGGTTAGGGAAGGGAGCAGTAGATATTAGAAGGTTTAACTTTCTAGCAAGTTTTTGAACTGACTCCTTCTGGAATGATTTAACCTGCAGAAATGTTCTTGTGTTTGCAGAAAGACACTTTAGGACGGGGTAGCAATTTAAACACCCTGGTAGTCCTATCCCATGTCTGGATGTATAGCCCCTGTCCAAGGTCTGCTAGAAAACAGGTTCCCCCCCCCCCTCTCTCTCTCTCTTACAAAGGAAAGAACCACATTTGCACAATCCACAGGGATTTGCAAGGTACTAGTGTTCAGCAAGCAGTGAGGAATTTGTAACTTTACAAGACCCATTGTGTTTTTCTCTTCAAGGAACAGGGTATTTTTCATAGATTCCAAGTCCAAAAGGGACCATTGTGATCATCTAGTCTGACCTCCTTTTAACACAGACCACAGAACTTCCCCAAAATGATTCCTAGAGCAGATCTTCTAGAAAAAACATCCAATCTTGGTTTAAAAATTGCTAGTGATGGAGAATCCACCACAACTCTTGGTAAATTGTTCCAATGGTTAATTATCCTCACTGTTAAAAATGTACACCTTCTTTCCAGTCTGAATTGGTCTAGCTTCAACTTCCAGCCACTGGATCATGTTTTACCTTTCTCTGCTAGATTGAAGAGCTCATTATCAATGTTTTGTTCCCCCTGTAGGTACTTATTGACTGTGATCAAGTCATCCCTTAAACTTCTCTTTGTTAAGATAAATAGATTGAGCTCTTTGAGTCTGTCCCTATAAGTCATGTTTTCTATTCCTTTAATCATTCTCGTGGCCCTTCTCTGAACCCTCTCTAGTTTATCAATATCCCTCTTGACTTCTTTCAGTTTGCAAATGTATTCTTTACATTTTCTTTGCTTTGACAGTAAAGCACACCAAAAAGGTGTTAAAACTCTGCTCTGTCAGACCTGGCCCACTTCTCAACCATAAATACAGTGCAGTTATTCTGATGCACTTTTAAATCCATTGCAGTGTGGAAACTCATTAATGATAACATCACCATGTGTGGCCAGATTTGTACTGGTATTTAGGCACCTGAAGAAGCGGATAGGATCCTGAAATGCCTAGGCAACTTTGAAAATCCCACTAGATGCCTATCTGCTTGCTGAGGCACCTAAATACCTTTACAAATCTGGCTTACTGAGTCTTTCATCTTAAAGGGTCTCAAAGTGCTATGTACTGTATGTAAACTGTGTGTGTGTGTGTGTGTGTGTGTGAGGGCAATCACTTCATTCATCAAAGTACAGCCACCCCAGGGGGAGGCTAGGGTGAACCACAACCAGTGAACACCTTTAAAATGTGTGAAAACCTACCTACACCGGTCGCATTTATAAATATCACATTATCACATTAGCTAATACATTTTTTAAAAAACACCTTTTTCTCCTAGTCTAAACAGAGCAAAGGTGCAAAGCAGTGTAAAATCAATATCTTTTGAATGTTCTGTTTTAAATATTGTTTGCCACATGTAGGCCAAAATATCACTACACTGGTCAGCCAGCCTTGCAGAATGCTTCCTCCCTCCGAAATTGCACAAGGCTGAAATTTACATCTCATTCCTTCCCAACAATTTCACATAAACCTGAGACCTACTTTTATTTCTGCGGTAAAAACTAATTAATCCTTGTACAACTGTGCCCTGGGGGAAATTAGCATGAAAACAAGTGCCAAAGATACAGTGGGATGATTAGTGTAAGCATACAATATATAATTATACAGGTGCGTCTGAATACAACCGTAAATCTAAACAAAATTCCATACTAATGAAGCTTTTTAAATACTAAGGCCAGCATGTTCAAAGTTGGGTTGGTAAAGTTTGACATCTAAATCCATATTTAGGAACCTGCTTTTCAAAGACTTTTCAGTGAAATCAGTGGGAGCTGCCAATGCTCATCACCTTTGAAAATTAGGCTGCTTATTCAGGTGCCTAACTTCAGGCAGTTAAGTCTGAAAGCTTTAACCTGTACTCACGCTATCCAGCCAGGGTATCAAAAACAACCAACCAAACTTGAAACTGATGTTTAACTTTTTAGAATAATTAACTTCCTGCTGACACTCCAGTAAGTGTTCTCCAGCACTAGGAGGAAAATGATTGAAAAGATGTATGTGTGCAGAAGAAAATCAAGAACGGGATAAAATGTAAATTCACAGAAAACACTGATAAATATCCCTTGCTGAACAATTTTTAAACTGGGCCGAAGTGTGGAAGCAATGCATCGGCTGTAGCGTGCTGTGTAGTGTAAAGCAAGTTCAGCGGATGATATTATTTAAAGTCCTCCCAAATGATTTATTTCTCAAGAAAATAAAGGAAAAAACTCCACAAGCACAGGGGTACAGTGTGACTGGAGATTTGCGTCCATAGTGTATATCTTATTATATGAGAGTGCAAATGTTAAATCAGAGCAGCAGTCATTCAGAACACTTTATAATTTCCTGCTTAGCTCTGCCAGGACTTGCTCTTGTGATTTATAACATCCTTGTTATTCACTGTTGTCCATCATTAGTTTTATATTTATTGTAGATAAGAAAGCAGAAGTATAGTTTGCATGTTAGTGGCTAATCTCCTTCAGTGCAATGTCAGTTTTCTTATATTAAGCTGCTTTTTTTCTATGAATATGTCTGTCTGCTTTCCCCAGTCTTTCCCCCTAAAACCAATAATATTGTATGTTCAGATTTCGGAGGGTTTTTTTTAAAAATGGGGGGGGGGTGGGATCTTGAGCTGCCACATACCTTCAGAGAACTAGGAACCTGTTGTACATAGGTTTAAGGCACATATATGCTACCCAGTCAGCTCATTTAGCACTTATTTGAGCTCACTCCAGAAACAACTAACTTCTTATCTAAGCAAAAAAGAATAAAATAATGTTGCCCCTTTGGCCCAAGTATGTAGCCAATATTCAGGGTCTTGCAGGGCTATTTCCAGGTATATTCTTTGTTTAAACTTGTTACTTTACAAAAAGTGCATATAAAGTCTTGTTTCTCTGAACTCAGTAGAAACAAGAGGCAATTCCCTTGCTCAGAACCCCCCAAGTCTGCCACTTCAGTGAGCTCTATGCCCAAGAAGCCCTGTGCTTTGTCTTCCTCCCAGAGTCGCACAACACTTCCTGGCTTTCTGCTGTTTCTGACACCTACAGTCTACAACCAATTTCCTAACTCCCTGTGTTTGCAACCAGGAAAATCTGTTAATCTCTCTGGGCTCACTCTGGCGTGCCAGGCGACCTGTTGTCTTGGGTCATCACCATGACTGTAGCTTTTTTACTACATGAAGGGGCTTGGTTGCTCCATTTGTCAAGCCTGAAAGAGTGCTTGGCACACCCACTGGCTTTCCGGGGTCTGTGATTCTTTGGATTCAAGACCAACTTGATGGCAGCCATGTGCCCCTTTCAGCATAATATTTTGCATTTATCTGGAACCTTCCACATGAGGATCTTAAACCTCTTTGTAAATGTCAATGATTTAATTCTCACAACATCCTTTGAGAGAAGTAAGTATTATCCTCATTTGACAGGTGAAGAAACTGAAATGTTAAATGGCTTGTCCAAGGTCACACATCAGGGGCTTGTCTTCATGGCAAAGTTCACAAGTGTTGCATCTAACTTGAATCCTGTCCACACACAAAACCCCTTAAACTGAATGTAGTAATGCTTTGAACTCAGGGGCCATAAGCTAAAGCTTGAGTTAGCACAACTCATTAGCTCCTAACAGACTCTCTGCAATGTGGATGCAGGCTAGTGCCACTCGTGTGTTGCCAGTTCTCCAGTGCCTTCTCACAATCCCCCTGCGTGCCCAGAAAGGAGAGTCAAGTTCTCCCGTAATTCACGGGGAAAGAATGCATAGAGTAACTCAGCATACTGCAGTGCAAAGAACCCTTGGACATGTCCCCAGAAGTCTCAGTCCAACACATGAGTGAGTGCAGCACCAGTGCTGACATAGCCACTTGAGTGTTATTTCACAGTGTGACTTCTCTCATCGGAGCAAGGCTAACTAAAGAGATGTAATCTAAGGCCTGGTCTACACTACACAGGTTGACGTAAGTTGCCTTGCGGCAACCTACTTCTGGAAGTGTCTTCACTTAAATTTGGCTCCCGATGAGGTAAGTGCCTCTCTCTGCGCCGATTTCGTGACACCACCTCCCCGAGTGGCGCAGAGTCAAGGTTGATGTAGTTAGTGTCAGTGTGGACACTGTGTTGCTTATGTCAACTGTTACTGGCCTTCAGAAGCCGTCCCACCACACTGACAGTACAATCGACACAAGCGCTCCTGGTGAGGACGTGCACCTTCCACACAAGCAGGCAAGTGTGCGCGCACACAAGCGGTTTTATAACTGTGGTGGCTGTACGCTGACATAAGGTAGGTCAACATAATTTTGTAGTGTAGACATGGCCTAAGTGTAGATAACTCCAGGTATGTGTTCACTGCAGTTACCTCAAGTCTGCGGACTTAACACAAATCTCTTGCCTTCTATTGCCTTCTGCTTCAGCCACAAAGACTATCCTCCTTTTTAATACAGTGTTGTTGTTAATTCCGCTAGTGTTTAAAGATTAAATATAAATATTTTAAATATGCTAGTGACTCTTTTATTGGGTACATACAACAGCTAACAAAAAGCTGCAAGGATTCCAGAACCAATGTGCTGAGTTCAGTGATGCTGGTATTACCAGATCGTATAAAATACTGTGTTTGTGATGAGATGCTTGGATCTCAGTCCCAGTGCTTGAAAGCTCATCTGCTGAGATGTTCTGACATCTTTTTTTTTGTTTAAAATGGCCTCTTTTTACATCCATTTCTCTTAAGACTTCTGTTTGTGGTTTCACAACTGCAAAATCAGTGC